TGGGTGGTAATATGTGAGGCCCACTATGGTTTTTGAAAATATTCAATACTTATTTATTATAATCTCGTGGTCCACTATGGTTGTTAATTTGCAATGGTGCAATTTGAGTAGCCAATTTGAATTCAATTCTATTTTTCACGGCTTTTGATAGGGTGTGTTTTTTTTTTTTCCTCTTTAAACCTGAACCCACCTGGTTTTTAAACCCCAATTAAGCAGCCACATAATCAAGTTCTATATATATTTACAATAATCTTTATGGTATGTTTAGCGATACTGAATAGGTTCTTTAAATTTGAGATTGAAAAATATTTAATACAAAATTTGAATTAAATTTTCTCTAATTTTAAATCCAAGACATTAATTAGTGCTCTCAAACATAAACATTAATAAATTATGTAGTTGTGGTAAGATTGATTCATAATTGATGCTTCAATACAGGTGTTGAACATGTAAATACTCTTCAAAAGTTTTAAGAGAAGTGAAAACAAAAAATAAGGATACAGAGACGTGATTAGAGCTATAAAAGCTCAAACATCATAACACGTCAAAAGACAAACATAGTTGTATATAGCACCCATCTCCCTCTCTTCTTCCTCTTTTTTTCTTCCCAAAATTCATGTTCTTAAAATTTTATTATCAAAACAATTAGGATTTTTCTCATCAAGAAGAAAAACTTCAAGATTTAAAGACATTCCAAATTAAACTCATTGTACATAATACCAAAAGAAAAAAATAAAAGAAATAGTTGTAACGGTCCAAAATCATTAATTGGGGAGAGAGATAGGGATGAAAATATATTTCCTTAACTGAAAGGATAATTGTGGTACTTGAAAAAAAATAACTATTTATTTATAAAATTAGGAATAGAAGTATAATACAATCATAAAAAAATTGAATTGTGAATATTGTTTCCCTTAATTATTATCAAAAAGAAAATGGATAGGACTGATTTCATCTGCTCTCATTGGGGCAGCAGCACCAGTCCTAACGTCACTCTAACTAAATACTCTGTAATCAGCCACCAAAAGTGGGTAAATTTCTTAGTTCTTTTTAGTGGGAGTAACACAACTCTTACTACAATTTCAATGTAAACTCTTTATAGCATTCGAGATATTCTTTTGGTTAATTTGCACTCACACTTATTTGAGTTAACGTCACTAAGTGGACAGTCAATACACTTGTTTACATTGACATCCTATCCTACGAGGTTTCAAAAAATTTCACACATCCCCTCTACCCAACCCTATAAACTAAATTTTGAAGGACCAAAATAACCTTCATTTTACATTCTCTCTCTAACCCTACACAATACCTCAATCCTCTAAGGTTCGGCAACGCAGGCACGGTCGAGGACAGGGTCGATTTGCTCTTTGTCCTCCTCGACGCGGCTGATTTTGGCGGAGATTTAGGGTTTGGCGTTGAGGGAGAAGACGCAGAGGAAGTCGAGGTCGTAAAAGCGGAAGTGGAGGCGGAGGACGGCGAGGTTGGAGGAGAGCTCAAAGGCGACGCCGTTGAAGAAAAGGTTTTCTTAGAATAGGGTTTTGGAGTGGTGTGAACAGTCGCAGTTCGTGGAGCTGCGGCAGAGAATAGCAGCGGCTTCTTGGTCCTTGGTGGTGTTGATGATGTTGAGAAAACAGAGAACAGCAGAGGGCAGCAGTGTCTTTGATGCTTGACGGCATCAAAGAGTTGGTGATGAGCGCAGAGGGTGATAATAAGACTGGAATAGCTGAAGAAGAAGGTGACGCATGCGCGTGAAAAATGCATTAGATCTATGCGCAGTGGTGCGTGGAGATATGGCGTATGCATTCAAGCGATCTGAGGAAGAAAACGATTCAGTCCGCTGCCACCACCCACCTAATCGAACCCATTGATCACCATGTTTGCTAGATGCAAGTCCACTGATTCAATTATTCGCACACACACGAGTTAATTTCAGAAGCGACGAGATCAGTGGCAAAAGCCACCACTGCATAGTCGTTCATCTCTTCGCCATCGGTAATTTCACCGTGGGTGGTCTTATATCTTGCTCGGTGATTCAACAACTTGCTCGGGCAGTGTATGGGTGTATGGGTATGGCGATGGTTGTGGTGATGTGTGTTTGGGTGCGACTGATTGTCTTCTTTGACCCTGTGGCGTTGTGTTGGTGTGGCGTGTTTGATGTGCAATGTTGTGTGGTTATGGCGATGTAGGGGTTGTGGTGGCGTGCAGTAGTTGTGGCGGTATGCGATGGTTGTGGCAGTGGCGGTGGCGGTGTATAGGTGTTGCGGTGGCAGGTGAGAAGGGATTACAGAATATTGATTAGGGTTACTTTTTGCAATTAACAAGTTCAGGGGTAAATAAGACTTTTAAAATTTCAAGGGTGTTAATGTAAATTAGTACATTGATTGTCTGTTGAGTGACATTGACTTAAATTTCAGGAAATGTGAGTGTAATTTACCCTATTCTTTTTATCACCTCATAAGGTCGCCATGCAAATGACACTTAAGTGCTAATGAAAAGAAAAGAGTATAGCTGAGTTCTAAAATCTTTCCCATTTGAAAGTTTGAAAATTTTAAATATTTAAAATGTTTACGTGGAAAGTTCTTGAGGATAAATTATTCTTTATTAATAAAAACTCTTAGATTTTCTTTTGCTTAAATTACTATAAGATTTTATCACAATAAAAACTTGTGCAAAATGCAAAATTGCCATATTCAGATTGTTCTGTCAAATAAATTGAAAAGGAGAGAAAATTAAGTAACAACTTTTTAAAAATCTTTACTTTCTACTTAATTTTTCTTCATTTTCCCCTTTCCTTCCGGTTGAATTTTTATGAGGACCAAACACCCTACCCTTTTTAATTTCACAATTTCATCCACCCATCCAAAAAAAACTGACCACAAATGTTTAATCCCAAATTGAACTTTGCACATTCACGATAGACATTGGAGAATGAGACTCTAAAGCTTCGTTTGTTTGAGTATAAAATATTTTTGTATTTTTCGTTTGATGGTTCCAAATAAAAAAATAAAAAATTACAAAAAAAAAAATAATTTTTCAAAACTTAATCAAAAAATGCTTACCAATTAATCCTCGAAAAATTATTTTCAAAACCTATCAATTTCACGCTCAATCTCATCAACAAAAGCATATAAACCAGCAATCAAGTACGTTACACAGTGGCCAAAAATAAAAATTAGAGAGAGAAAGTGGGCGCCTAGAGAGAGAGAGAGAGAGAGAGAGAGTGGGCGTCTAGAGAGAGAAGTTTTTTTTTTTTTTGGTCCTGGCAAACAAACAGCAACAAGATCAACAAGGACAATTTTTTGCTGCCAAATCTAAAATATTAGCAGAAATATAAACAAGAACAATATTAGTGGTAACATGGGGCCGAGAAAGATAGAAACCTTTACTGTGTGTTATAGTGACTCAAATAAAACAAGTTACTCGAAGAGCCAATAAATCCAATACCAATTTATGTGTTTCTCTCTCTTCACTATTTTTTTTTCTGTCCTCTGCTTCTCTCTCTTATCTCCCTTTTATTTATTTTTTTGTTTTTTGGGCTGTGATAAATACATCTCTCTACGGGGAAAAAAAAAAAGTAAATGACAAACTAATTAAAATTCCTGTTTGTATCAATCAAAATTCATTTTTCTAAATATAAATATATAATTAATATTATTGGCCGAGTAAATTGTACAGTGACATTTTCAAAAAAAAAAAAAAAAAACACCTGAGACCGAAAAATTAACACCCAATCCGTTTTATAACCAGCCGTAAATGGATTGATAACGAGTTATTGACTTATTGCATATTTGTCCATTCATGACCAGTCCCAAATTTTATTTTATTTTTTTTAAATATGTCAAACACCAAAAACTAAAGAAAACATTTTACATTAAAAAATATCGCTTAGAAAACATTTTACAAAAAAAATATTTTACGCTCAAACAAACCAAACGGAACCTAAATCCAAAAAAAATTGACTGACTAGGCTTGAACAAGAAAACCTAATATTAATAATTTTGGAATACACAGTGTTGGGCCACTCTTCGAATTGTTATTAAGTGATCAACTTTGTTAAATAAATGTAAGCCTGAGTCCATCACAAGCCTAACGTAAAACATTTTTCGAAAATTATTTTTTGTGTTTTTTGTTGTTTTGTCGTAAAATATTTATGAAGAAAAAAAATATTAAAATCTAACAAAAATAACTTATGCAGTAGTTTTTGACAAGCTATTTTACAAACTTTACTCGATCGACTCGATCTCAACCTAGACCTTGACTTTTGCCAAATGCTAAAAAGTAAAAAACAAAAATAACTATTTTACCTGAAAAAAAACAAAAAAAAAAAATATTTTCTAAAAAAAATATTTTACGTCAAAACAAACCGAACCTAGATAAAATTATTTTTTTTAAGCCCAAATTGGCTCAAATATCATGTTAGCAAGTCCAAATATTTAATTTACCAAATTAATAATAACAATAATTAAGAAAAGCAACAAAAATTTTGAGTATTACATGTGCCCATAAAAAAAGAACTTTTATCATATTAATTCTTAAGTTTGGTCATTGAATTATGTTTTAATAACAATAACTAAAAAATAAACGGAAAATAAAAGATCAATAAAAAATAAGTATGTATATGTTGTGGATCCACCAGTCCTTCATTGTGTTCTCTCTGCTTGGCAGTTGCAACATTTCTTTGCTTGGACAGCAATCACGAGTAGGACTTTGTCTAATTCCATTTCTACCCTCCCCTTTGCTTAAAATAACAAATACGTCAAAGATTATTTAGAAGGAACAATGATATTCATCCTTCACTTTTATTTTTACTATATATATTTATAATAAAAGTAAAAATATTAACCACTTATCATTTTTGAAAAAAAAAAAAAAAAAATGATAGTAATCATATTTTTTTAATAAATAATAATAATCATATTTGATTAAAAAAAATTATTTTAATAACTTTATTATTATACCTTTTTTTCATAAATTTTATCTTTTAAAAAAGAAAGACATTTTAAACAAAATTTCATTAAAAATTACAACATTTCCTTCTCTTTCCCAAATTTTTTGGGAGATAACAAAACCACACATAATAATTTTTGCATATTAACCAACTTTCATGTTATATTACAAAGTGAAAACTTCCATTAGATAGCCTAACAAGATAGATAGGATATTAAGAAAAAGGTATAGCCTAAAAAGATAGATAGGATATTAATCCAAATAACAACATAAAAAACTAAATCTTTGAACCTGTTGGGATATATATATATATATATATATATATATATATATATATGTCTGCAATAATAATCAAGATGTTCCGGGAGCTTTTGGATCATGGTTGTTGTTTGCTCCTGTTCCTGGATAGTCTGCCTCTTCCATTTCCATGTCCATCCTCCCTTTTATCAATCTTTCCTCTAATAGCTCCCCATCAATCCTCAAACCCATTACATCCTATAAATCAATTTAATTTAAGATAATTCATATATACATATAATTACATAATCCCACTCATATCTAGACTCAATTAATAAACTAGTGAGAGAGAGAGAGAGAGAGAGAGAGAGAGAGCAAACCTGAGCAAGTAAATCCTGGACCGATACTTCTTCCTTGATTGGCTTGAGGCTTCCTAATAATCACACAAATATATATATATATATATATACATCAGAACTCACACACACATATATATACACACACCACAACTTATATATATTGAAAGAAGTATATTGGATTGGATCCAATTAAATTGAATCGTACTTGAGTTAGGAATTGCGACAGAGGACAGAACTAAGGAGAAACCCAGAAACAATAGGAGCAATCGAAGAAAATAGGTGTGTTCCATGTACTTCATCAAACAAATCATTAATTTATGGAGCTGGAATTAAGCAGATTGGAGAAATGGTTGGTGAGAGAGGCAAAGGAAAGGATGTGGGTGGGAATGGTGATTGTGCATATATATATATATATATATATATATATATTGATAGAGATAGAGCTCAACCCAACAATTGAATATTGAATATACAAAGGAATATAATATGTAGGACTACTGGACTTAAAGTCAACCTAACTTGTGTTTGGAGTTGCACCTGCCTAACTCTGTCATCTTGGGTCACTTTTACATCATCAGGCCGCCTTATTTAGCTCAGCTATTCCGAATTCAGTTGTTCACACACACACACACATCATCATCATCCTTTAAGAAAATATATTTTCAGTATATAATTCGGGCCAATCCCCATTTGACAACTAAGCAAAAAATTAGATAAAATTTACACATTTTTAACACATTTGCTTAAGGTGTGAAATGGTGATAGTCTCAAAGAATTTTAGTCCACCCGTCAAAACAGAAAGTCCAAGCTTTATTTATCAATAAGTCAAGATGTCTAACTAATGCTCCATTTGGTAGTCTAAATTCGGAAAAAATAGATAGAATGAAGAGAGGAAGGAAAGGATATGTATCTCAATAAATTCTTTTGTTTGGTTAGATGTAAAAGAATAAAAATCGATATTACTATTTTATTAATATATCCTTAATGTACAAATTAATTAATACATCAGAATGAGGTGTGAGGTTGTCTTTTCGAATTTCTCTCTTCTCTTCTCTTTTCCTCCCCTTTAGAATAGGAGCAAAATGGTGAGTCACAACTCATAAGTGATGGCTAATCCCACCATCCTTCCCTTATCCATCCAACTCTTCCACCTATCAAATGATGAACACTCGTTTCATTCTCTTCTCTTCTCCTACGGTCCTACCGACCTAAGTTTCGTCTTTTATGTATTAAATATTATACATACTTCCACTATATATATATATATATATATACCCTCCAAAAATATCGTGATTATCTATGAGACCTGACCTAGAGCCAGTGGTTACTTTGCCTAGATATTTTGTTCCTCTCCTTGGTCGGGTTGGATTGAGACTTGAAACTAGTCCACCAAAGCTCAGCCACTTCTGAGTAGTAATTTAGTTCAATTGTGTAGGTAGTCTTGGTCAGAGAAAATATTGAAAAGAAGGGGAGGAGGAAAATTGAATTAATTGCTTTGTCTGTAAACCAAAGTTATAATATTTTACCATTAATTTGTCCTATTAACAAAATTTTCCATCCCAAATTAATATATTGATTAGAAAACTATGTAGTCAACACTTGAAAAAATTCAGAATTTTGTTATCAAAATGGATGCTTCTATAATATTCCTTTTCAAATTATACTTTATTTTTTCTGCAAATTTATTTATTACAATGGAGTTTTGGATATTAAAGCGATTATAAGCATATAGAATCATAGTTGGTACATAACAGTGTAGACAGATATACAAGGAATCATTTGACCAAGACCGCCAACGTGAGTGGTGTGAAGATCAGATCAGAAATGTGTTTGTGGCTTGGGATATTTCTCTTTCAAAGAGGTTGTTGGAGGTCTCACTCACCACGAAATTCACATATTTGTGGAAAATATTGTCGGTATCAAGATCTTGGAAGTTTCATCCTCCTAGACGTTGATTTATTTTACTATTATAACTATTTTTATTATTCTAATCAGCTGCATATAATACAAGACACTTTTCAAAAAAACACAAACTCATAAGTGATGCCGCAATGCGATCACAATTATGATGTCATCATAGATATTCTATATATATATATATATCATAAGCAACATGTATTCTTTCAGCCCAATTTTTAAAATAAATATAGAAGGCATTTATACACTTTCGAAGTGATGGAACTTCCAAGATCTTAATACCGACAACATTTTCCAGTGAAGAAGATTGAGAGAGTTTAATTGGCTAATAGAGAGAGTTTGATGCACACAACCTTATGAATGATCAATTACACTAAAATAATGGTTAGCATTTTCAATTTTAGTCTACAGAAATGCAGTACAAATCTTACAGACTATTAGAACCCCAATGGGAGGGTTGCAGAAATGGGGTGTACCAATTGTAACAACCTCCGATTCTCTTTATAGCCCCATTCCACGATGGCCCAGTTAAAAACAAAAAACACAAATAAAGAAGAAAAAAAAATTATTACATGAAATGAGAAATAAAAGCTTACCATAGCCAGTCAGTACCCATCATAACCATAATCATCACCATAGTCATATTCTTCCCCTACATTCTCATAATTGCCATGCAATCCTTCGGGATCCTCCCCATCTTCATACGCATCCTCTGTCCCAAAGTCGCCATTATTATAACCGTCCTCTAATTCAAGTTCTTCATTTTTGCTAATTGTCCGAAAATTGTCATCATAGTCCAAATGAGTTTCAGTCCGACTTTTCTTGGGAGCCACCTGTAGGACAAGTACATCAATGCAAATGTACTCAAAATAATGAATAGGTTTATATCTATTCCACCTTTTACAACACCCTGCTGCAAAGGCAAGACCACAACAACTACTACTACTTGGCTGGCTTATCACTGTCGTTGTTATCATCGTCATTGTTATCATTATTTTTTCATGTGTGAGCACAATATCCTTATCTGCTCCAGTCATAAATTTCCTCCGGGAAACCGGAAGGGAATGAAAATGCATTCCCTTTGGAATTAGAGTTGATTTATCATGTCCCAATTCATCTATAGATGGGCAGACAGAACAATGCAGTCAAAGTTAGAAATAGTTCCTCAGATTTTGGCACTTACGTCTTCAACCACCAAAATAGCCACAAAAGAGATGGAAGTTCTACTCTGCAGTCTGTATTCACACATCTTTTCCAATTTTTCAATGACTAAATGCAGGTGGAATAACTTTGTAGCATCAGGTGTATAACATAAAAATCGAAATTGTTTTCGTGGAATTCCAAATGGTCCTACGTAACATGGACACTAAAAAACATGTAACATGAAGTAACTGGGCATGAGACAAGTATATGATGCCACTAATGCAAATACAGAGACCCTATAGGCTTGCCAAGCAAAGAAAAAAAGGACACATTTCTAATTCACTGTCAGCTCCTTAGTAATACATTGTTGAGATCTCTGCCTCATAAGCATGGATATCTCACAAATACCGATGTCTGTTCAGAAAATTGTACACCAGTAAATTTGCAATGCATGAGAGTCCCAAAAATTGGGATTAGAGGAATCTTATGGCATTATATAAATCAGACACATAAACACACACACCCGTACATGGTCTGCTAATTGTGTTTTGTGTAACCCAAGTTTGGGTAAGTGGCTGCAAAAGAAAGGGGAGGCTTGACAGAAGGAAGAAGGGGAGAGGGGAGGACCTAAAACCAGAATAAGAAAGCTGATAAAACTTACAGATTCATCAAAAAGTTTCTCCAAGACATCGTAGTTGATTTTAGAACTGAGTCTCTGCAAGGAAAACACATCAATATACAATAATAAATGTCAACCATGCACAATATTCAAGGATGAGAAGATAATGGAAGAAAAAAATATATATATATATATATATATATATATGAACAGATTGTCTAAATCGATTAGACCAAGCTTGCCTTATTATTAGAGAAAGGAAAAAAACCCTTGAAACACAATAAAAGGTCAGGGAATTTGATTTATTCTGTTCTGTTTGGCATCAATACCTTCTTAGTTAACATTTCTCTAGTAGCTTCTGCAGCAGTTTGAGCAGGAACTGCATTTCTTGCTTCTGCAGCTCGCTTTTGTTGCCTTTCCTGCGAAGGGATGCATAAAAAACGAAAAAAATATGAAGACTCGTGGACAAGTCCAACTTGATTAAAGTAAAAAATAAAAATTTCACTACCACACACCAAATGCATGAATTTGTTTCTGCTAGACTATTACGTTCTTAACATTTTTACTAGTTACAAACAATCCTCCTCATCAATTTGCCATTCACTAAAATTGAGAAAAAGTCTTGTAACTCCATAAGCCAAACATTTTGAGAAATTGGACTTAGGAGTGTTTGAACTATGGTTTCACCCATTCTCTTTTCTTCTGCCTCACATCAAAATCCTAACCCCACCATCACTTAAATCCTTGCATGTCATACACCAACAATCACCACCTGCAACACATAGACCTCTCTCTCCCTCTCCCCCCCTACTCGGAAACTTTTTTAAAATTACCCTCTCAATGCAATCTCTATAACTAGCATTCCTTCCATTCTCTTCAAATTTTCCAATCCCAAATTTATTCAATATGACTGCAGCAATACATCACCATCCTTCCTGAAATTGGCTGTGTTTTCTCCATTTCTCCAGTGCCTTTCTGCAACAGTACAACTATATAGTGATTCATTTAATATATAGTCATTTATTTCAGATCATACCAAAATTTACCCAATAAAGGCCAATAAGAAAAGACTGACCAGAGCATCGAGGGATCAAGCACCCAAGTACGGCAAATGGTTCATTGCTTACTAAAAAAAAAAAAAAATTGAAAGAAAGAAAGAAAGAAAAAAAAGAGGACCGATAGTGGAAATTAAGACGTCCATTAGTTTGTTTATTTCGAGTGATTCTCATTATTATACATGGAAATTGGTTTCAAGCGAGAAAATGAAGACACGGGAAATAAACAAGACACGTGGACAGGTTGTATTTCCCAATGTACGTTAGTCGTGTTATATCATGACAGCATCATAATGTTTGGGAAGTGAACGTGGGATGAAATATTTCAAAATAATGATTAGAATGCATTGTTGCCAATTTGATTAATAGATGGCTTTGCTGCATATGGATGCCAAAAATGAAATGACTAGTTTGTATACTAGTTGCAGAAAGAAAAGAAGATGGACATTTAAGTAGTGGGAATATACATTCCACCAGCAGTAATACATGGGTTAGTAATAAATGGTTGGTTGGTTACGCCTAGGAGAAAAAGAGGGAGTTGATTTCTTTTTAAAAGAAGACATTAACAAACGCAACTGAAAGACCAGGGGTTAATATTAGAAGTAAACATTTTCCATTGGATCCATGAGTAATTTCAATATTAGGAAGAAAATATGGTTTGGACATGCGCAGAGACGACCAGTGAGTGCATCAGTAAGGAAGAGTGACATGGTTCACATTGAGGATAATACTAGGGAGGACGACCAAAATAAACATGGGTAGATTGAAGAAGGAAAGATACGACAACATGTTACTTGAATGAGGCTTTGGCATTACATAGAGCATATTGGAAAAACAAAGGATTCATTAACCAACCCCAAGTAGTTGAAAAAAGGCTTTGTTGAGTTGAGGAAGCAAATATAAAGCATTTTATAGTTTAGGGGTCATAACAAGGACTCTAAAAAAGAAGCATCAACGAGAAATGAGGGAAAAAATAAAAGATCACCATGGTCTTAAAAACGTGGGAAATAAAGAATCAATACGAAGTCAATTAACTTAATTATTAGCAGAATAAAAGAAGTAAATATTAAGCAGGTTGTATGGTAAGTAAATGATTTTACTAGTCGAAAAGAGCCTATAGACAATACTACAATCCAAGAGAATAGATTTCTCAAAAGAACTATGTTTGAGCTTGTGAATCCGCAACCCGCTCCTTCAATTGTTCTATTCCATTCCCCCAAACTGATCACCTCAAACCCCCAAAATTCATGCCAACACCTCAATTACCTCACCACTCCAACCAGAATGGTTCCACTCATCTTAAATTTACCATTAAAGAGCCTCAAAACACAAGTATACAAATCACAAAAATCTCAGCTGCTCCAGATCAGCATCACAAATAATGTAGTATCGCCAACAAATAATGTAAGAGAAATAAAATAGCTTTGTCTGCAATATCAAAATTACAACCAATAATCAACCCTTCCACCAACCGCTTGAGAAATCTGCTCTAAGCCCCCATCACCAAAATAAAGAGCAAGAGGGAGTGATTCCTCGTCTCAAGCACCTAATTGGAAGGGAGGGAAATCTTTCAAGAGAATAATTATTTCAAAATCAAGAATTCAGCTGTAGAGATGCATGTCTCCACCCATTTCCCCACTTATATCCAAAAGCCCATACTGCCCAACATATAAAGAGAGAAGCCCTTAATGACATGGCCATCAACCTTACCAATGTCAAACTTGCAAACCATTTCCAGCTCTATGCTCCTCCTAGACCTCAAATGGACACCTTCATTTGCCGTTAAAACCGGTATCCAAGAGTTGTCTTGAAAGGGATTTTGGTCTAAAAAGATGACTTCCGAAACCATGTGTCGAAGGTAATACCTTAGCCAACAATTTACCAATTACCACCAAACTAGTAGATCTAACTCTAAAGCTTTAATATCAACTGGACCTCCCCTTTATTGGCACTAAAGCCATAAAGGTAGATCCGGGAAAACTCACACTCCCATGCTCAATGAAGCACTGAAAAGATTCCATCCCCTCCTCCTCAACCATAGTCCAATATTGCTAAAGACAGGGCATCAAAAAACCATTGGGCTAGGAGCCTTATACCAATATACCCATTGCGATACTTTAAGGCCTCAAAATTTTCCTCTTCCAAAAATGGGATCTCCAGCCAATCCAAATTCAATCCATCCCCACCAATGATTGTGCAGTCAATACAATTTGTCTCCTTGTGAAGCATTTGCAATTGAATGGAAACAATATGTATTCTTTTCACTTGATTTGGGTCTCCAACTCACATCGCAATTCAATTTGTCTCCTGGTGGGGCATTTGCAATCGTACGAAGCAATTTGTATTATTTTCACTAGATTTGTGTCTACATTGGGCTAGGATCCTTGCACCAATATATCCATTGCGACACTTCAAGGCCTCAAAATTTTCCTCTTCCAAAAATGGGATCTCCAGCCAATGATTGTGCAGTCAATACAATTTGTCTCCTAGTGAGGAATTTGCAATCGATGGAAGCAATGTGTATTATTTTCACTAGATTTGTTTCTCCAACTCACTTCCCAATACAATTTGTCTCCTAGTGAGACGTTTGCAATGTATGGAGCAATTTGTATTATTTTCATTAGATTTGTGTCTCCAACTCACTTCCCCTTCACAACCCCCTCCCCCCAAAAAATAAAAAAATAAATAAATCCTCCTGAACTCCCTCGCTCTCATCTCCTACCATCTAGCATTCTCCTATGCTAACAAGACCCCTCTACTTTATTTCCTATAACATATCCTCTCTTTTCTCAATTCCAGCTCCATAGAAACTTTTTTGTTCCCATCCTTCAGTAACTTCAGTTTTGTAGCCAGGCATAAGAACCTGGCAGGATTTTGACTAATGGGGATAGATTTAAGGGGATCACCTCTCAGTTACCGTGTCCATTTTGGAAAGCTGAAGCCGCACCATCAGTGTAAATAATAACACATCAAGGCAATACATCTGTAAATAGTTAAATGGGGGAAATGTCGTCTAATATGTCATCTGACAAACTTTTTAACAGAATAAAAAGAAAAATCAAATTTAAAAAAATAAAAATAAAAATAACAATCTCTCCATGTCTTTGACACTTAGCTAACAAAATATAGGAGAAAGAATTCTAGCATCTAATTTAAACTATAATACATGAAAATGTATCAAGTCCTACATTATTACATTTTAACAATGGTACATTCTACCCAATTTATTAGCAAGAGTACAAGGTTTGGTTTCATTAAACATGGTCATATAAGCCGGTATCAGTTCGCTCCACAAAACAAAATAGTGAACTGCAATTTAAAAGTTACAGGTTAGAACAAACACCTTTCTTGATTTTGCCACAGCTGCTGCAGCAGCAGCAGCAAGCTCCTGTGCAGCTTGCATGTCCTCTGGACAGCTATAGGAACTGGACTGAAAAGCTTCCTTAGCAGCTGCTGCAGCTGCTTCCTTAGCTGCTTGTTCCTGTTAAGAATTCGCAACATAAAATTCTGTTGTGAGCTAATTACAGTATCAATATATAGCATAAATCAAAGATGAGAGTCCATAGCAAAAGAATAATCATCAAATCTGATCAAAAAACCAATGATTGTGTTAGCCAGTTTTTCACAATCCAATCAAAACAAAATAAGATGAGGGGGAAAACAAAACTAACTGAAAAACAAAAAGAATGGATTCTCTTTCTTTTTTTCTTTTTCTTTTTTCTTTCTTTACACTAGAAAGAAGAAAAGGAAAAGAAAATCCAATCATGAGATCTATATTTCCATAAAAAAATATATCAGAAACATTCTCAAATTTTGTAGAAACTTAGAATTATGTATCAAAAATCTTCAAACTACAATAAAAATAAAAAATAAAAAATAAAAAAAAAAAGCAATCACTACCTATCCTGCTAGAAGATAATGATAATTGTTAGGTTCGTACCCTCCTAGAACCGAATGGCCTTCAATTACTGTCTAAAGTATGCAGTTAATGAATTTTGAAATCAATAGAAATATGAATCAGATCACCTCCAGATACTCCCTGTTCATCTCTTCCCAAATAATCTTCTTGTACCGCTTCTCCTCCTCATTGTGAAGGTAACCATCGACCTAATGGAGCACATGATTTAGCATATAAATACTTGAAAAAATACACACACACACACACACACACACACACACAAATATGCAAAGATATTAGCAGTACACGCTTAGGAAGATATAAATGGTTGGGAAAGTGACAAAAAAATTATGAATGAAATCTGTAAGAGTCAGATGCCTCTTTTGGGTGGTAAAAAATAGACACTCTCAAGTAAAACTATAAATTGTGAGTCCAGAATACAGTCATTTGTTCTCATGTGCCCATCAAGTCAACTTATATCTGGAAAAAATAAAATATAAATGGAAGCAAGATACTGACACCAGAACACATTGGAGGACAGTTACAACTTACTACTTGACCTTACAGTCTAACTTCAGGTCTTTTTTGGGTGGGAATGACCAAGATTAGGAGGATAGTTCTAGATTAGTCATTGGACAACATAATATTAATATTCTTACTTCCAACATGCTTCCAAACACTCCACTGAATTGTGTTTTCATCAAGCAACACGTGCCATAATCTAATATATGAATAATCAAAATATAAAATTTCCTTGGAACAAAGTGCAAAACATAAAAATACAAACCATAGAAAACTTTAAAATCTGACCCAAACACACGAACATTTTGTCAATACTTTTATAACTTTTATGAATGTGTATGCATGCGTACACAGATGCTTTAATTTAATAATGTTGTGCTACACCAAGTTGCCTTAGCCTCATGGTCAGCTCTAATAACCTGAAGCAAACAACATGGATTCGATGTTTGAGACAGTATTTTAAAAACATAGTTGAAAATGAGAGATGCAGTTTTACAAAGAATCACTAATTTGGGAAACTACTGTACTCTTTGCGGGCAGAGAGATGAAAAACCCTTGCAAGTCTAAAATGATCACATGTCAATGTCTATTTGATTTATCCAATCCCTCTCCCACCCACCCAAAAAAGAAGAAGAAAAGGAAACGAAAAAAGATGCACTATTTTGTCTACAGAGCATAAACAAAATAAAAAGATAAGACAAAAAAACAAACTTTCCGCCCAGAAAGAGTTTCTCTGTGACTTCGGTGAAATTAATTGGCAAAACCAGGCCTCTAGCAGTCTAGCTGAGCCTTCTTTCTAAAAAAATAAAATCAAACTTGATTTTGTTATCAAATCTACTAAAGGATTTAGAGACTGATTTTTATAATGAAAAAGAAAAATCAGATGTTAAAAGGATCAAATCAGGACTTTCAATTTAGAAAATTCAAACAATATGGATCATACCTTTTCAACATCCCAAAACATTAAATTCTTTTTCAAATTAAGTCGAAGTTGAGAAAACATGTGTAGAATGTCCAGAGAGGCAAAACAGAAGGTAAAGAAAAAAAAAAGCATTGCTGCGTACCTCAGCATCATCAATATCAGAAAGGCTCTCTGATTCCTCAAAAACCATACCACTTGTACCATCAGCTCCATGTAAATTATTATCTGCACCATTGCCAATGGCTGCCTTCTCAGCAGTAGTTCCTGAAAGAAAATAAGGTTCAAAAGCAATCAAGTATTACTCCAATCGACTCCAATCGAACAATGCAGAACTTAGATCCTTTTAGTACCACACCTTTTTCAAGAGGATAAGGTTATCTTTACACAGGTCCCAAACTCAGATAAAAAAGAAGGGTTGTCTTAGGTAGTTGGACAGCCAGCATAAAACTTTTGTCATGACCAATAAGCACAGAAGACCTTTAACTGCATCAATTAGGAAGAGTGACATGGTCCAAATCGAGGATAATGCTAAGGGAAGGGGAATACCAAAATTCACGTGGATAGAGTTGGTAAGGAAGAATATGATAACATGTGGTTTAACTGAGCTATGGCCTTAGGTAGAGTGGAATGGAAGAATGGGATTCATGTAGCCGACTCCAAGAGGATAAGACAATATGAACTCACCAATACTCTCCGGCTCTGAAAACTGCAAATTTCCACTTATGACCTCACTTATGTCCGATCTTTTTTCAAACTATCAAATGTAAACACATAAAAGGAAATAATTAATATACTAAGAAACAAACACATAAGAAAGGAAGTGTCATATTAAAAAAAAACAGTAAGGTGTTATCTAGCCAAGACAGTAAGAGCATGTAAAAGATAAGTGATAGACAAAAAAGATTTTTCACTTGTCATTACTCACTGGCAAAAGTATCCTCAAGCACATGCAGACATTAGATGGAAAAACCATTGGAACCCCATCGACATATGCTTTCTGATGATATTAAGACTAAAAGAGGTGCAGAACATACTGTTTAACATGTTCTTTATGAGAAACACAGTATTTCAAGCAGTTTCTCCAACAAATCCATGAAACATAAAATATTCACCCAAAGCCCACCTTATATATCACAGTGCATCATACAATAAATAAAAACTAGGTTCCCAACACATAAATTAATTTTTAAAGATTTCCAGTTGAATCCAATTTGCATTTTTAAAACTAACTGGCGTAGTGGGGAAAGCCTCGAAAAATTAAGCAATTTTAGAAAACTGCACTTTCACGTATGCAAACTGATTCAAAGCTTCAATCAATATATCAAACTTCAATTTAAAATTTGCTGTAATGATTGAATATGACTTTTCTTTTACCCCTAGCTCCGGCCCCTTAAGTAGCATAGGAAAATTGTTTCCCAAAATTAATGGTCGTCCTTACAACTAAGATATAATTTATACATATAACAAGCATTTAAAACATGCCAACACCCATGCACAATAAATCAACAGTATTTTACATCATCTAATATGCACCGCACTACGTAGATATTGTTTGCTTTGCACTTTCTCCTCTCATTGCTCGTGATTTTACTCAAAACATGTCTACATGGTGAAGGAGTATCCACACATATAAATGCTTGGAAAATCTCCCCCCAACCGATGTGGGACATCACAATCACCCCCTCTTGGGACCCAATGTCCTCGCTAGCCTGGACCACGTGGGCTTGTGCACGCCCTCCCTCCACACCGTGTAGATATTGTCCGCTTTACACACTCTCCTCTCGGTGCTCGTGCTTTTGCTCAAAACACGTCTACATGGTTAAAGAGTGTCCACACATATAAATGCCAAGAACTCATCCCCCCGGGACGATGTGGGACTTGACATCCCACATCACTTTGAGGAAGAGGTTTGATGACACTTATACATGTGAACATCCCCCACTATGCAGGCACATTTTTAAAAACCGTGAGCACGAGACGAGAGGGTGCAAAGCGGATAATACCTACACGGTTGGGCCAGGTAGTGACAAATGATATCAGAGTCAATCTCCAATTGAAGCCTTAAACCTAGAGTATAATTCAATTACATAAAATGTGGTTGTATGAACACTTAACCATTAATTGGTATTGATCCCACCAAAGTAAAATGCACCCAAGGATCGACAGTCATAACATTGGTATTATTTGCACAAACTGAGTAATCAGACAATGCCGAGTGGGAGGATCATCACACAACTGATAAAAGTTACTCACACTTAATAACCCAAGTTGTTAACATTGCACCAAGCACTGGCCCTACTATAATAATACTTATCTAAAAAAAATATACTAAAACAGGGATGATGCTAAAAAATAGTTGGTCTCTAACTGTCCTCATCAAATGAATCAATCCATTAGTGATTCAGATTGACAATACAAATTTTAACTACTCAAATAATTTTAGCAGAATAGTTGGAATGAACAGGTTCAGTTAAAATGTTAGCGGTTGTAATTATTAAATAGAATTAGAGATTAAAATTTAATAAACTATAATATCTATAAGAAAATTTAAATGTTTACAGTTGTTTCTCACATGGCAAGGTATAGGAACAAGATTAGAATCATTAGTATCTTCCTCAGTAGATCCTTTTGACATTCTCTCCTGTTCAGCTCGCTGGAAAGCTGGAGGTTCTGATCCTCCCTCAAGCCCGCCTGAAAGTTCTATGAACTGAAACAAATGGTACAAGCATGAACCGAAGTTCTCAAAACTAAATCATTGAAACAGAACTTCAAGAAATGGATACAAGGAGTAACCTCATCATAACAACTTTTACAAAGTCCAGCGGCGAAAGGAGGTCTTCCACTGCCCTTGTGCTCACAAAGCAATTCGTTTGTCACAGATACTTTCAACCCAATATTTGGCAGATTGGCTGTATTACGTTCTCTTTCAAGCTCCTTAGCCTTCATGTGGAACTCCTCAATCTAAAAAGGAAAATTGATTGAAAAGGAAGAATACACAAAAAGACAGATAAGAAACAGCTGGTGCTACAAGCATTTGAATCATTAAAAATTTTGCACTCCAAAATCAAATCTAATCGTTAACAGCAATCATAAATTTAAAGATGAATAAACATTAGAAATATATAAGAGCATAAACATAAAAATAATAATTATAATTATAAACAAATAATAATTAAAAAAAAGGAATGACCCTGTTGAAGGCTTCAAATATTTTCAAGTGTTTCAAATTTTTGACATGTTAGATTCAGCATTATGGTGTTTCTAGGTAATACTACGATTAAAGAAGAACCAAAGTGGGTCCTCCCACACACGCACATACAAATGTACACAAACACGCATGCACATGCACGCACACATACAAATACATATATATATATAGAGAGAGAGAGAGAGATAGAGAGTCAACTCAATATATTGTTGCCTACTACAAAGTTAACTCATTCTCCATCCTAGCTTCCTAGGCTTAAGCAGCTCTTCTTTTATGACCGAGGGGCTAAAGAAAATGCTTTCTGACCCTCTCAAGTCTCACCATATCTTCAAATTTTTGTTTCTGCATCCTCCTGTGCACAAAAGAGGCTTAGAATGTATATTGTGTAGGAGAAAAAATTTTGTCGTAAATTATGGGTAGTTCAGTCTTTTACATTTTATATGGGTAGTTTAGTTACTTTAGGCTTTTATCTTTTATATGTTGCCTACTACAAAGTTAACTCATTCTCTGTCCTAGCTTCCTAGGCTTAGCAGCTCTTCTTTTATGAGTGAGGGGCTAAAGAAAATGCTTTCCGACCCTCTCAAGTCTCACCATATCTTCAATTTTTTGTTTCTGCATCCTCCTGTGCACAAAAGAGGCTTAGAATGTATATTGTGTAGGAGAATAATTTCTGTCATAAATTATGGGTACTTTAGTCTTTTACATTTTATATGGGTAGATTAGTTACTTTAGGCTTTTATCTTTTATATGGGTAGTTTAGTCTTTTACCCTTATGTTAGGGCATATAAATATGCTTGTATGGTAACTAGTATATTGACGATTGATTAATAATATCAATAACTTCTTCACAGTTTCCATGGTATCAATTATCAAAGGAAGTGATGATTCTAGTCTGAAATCACATCGCACGTTCACATCGCAACATCAGTTTGTTTTATCTGTTAGCATCGATCGGAACACTAAACAAATTCTGCAGCAATCCTTTTTCTTCATTCTACTTATGCTGGAAGTATTATTCTTCTATTATATGTTTGATGACATGATTGATGACATTGATGGAATTACTCATTTGAAGTCATTGTTGCAACAACAATTGGAGATGAAGGATCTCGGTCCTCTCCACTATTTCCTTGGTATTAAGGTGGCCTCTTTTCCCAAAGGCTATCTTCTTTCACAATCCAAGTATGCAGTGGACATTATTCACAAAGCTCATCTCACAAATCCACGAAGAGTTATGACCCCCCTGGATCTTTATGTTCGTTACACTTCCTCAGATGGCGTTCCCTTGGTTGATCCTACTTTGTATCGCATTCTGGTTGGCAGTTTTGTGCATCTCATTGTTACACAACCTGACATTACCTATGCAGTACAAATTGTAAGTCAATTTGTGTCTCACTAGGTTGTTGTTCGCATTTTGCGCTATCTGCAGGGTATCTTACATCATAGTTTGTTATTTTCATCTACCTCTTGGAACTTCGAGCTTTTTCTGATGCTGATTGGGATGAAGACTCAACTGATCGTAAGTCAACTATTGGCTTCTAGATCTTTTTGGTGATTCTCTCGTCTCCTGGAAAAGCAAGAAGCAGACAGTTGTTGCTCACTCCTCTGTTGAGGCTAAGTATCGGGTCATGGCTGCTACTACAGCAGAGTTAGTTTGGTTCAGATGGTAGCTTGCTGATATGGGCGTTCCTCTTTCTATGTACTGCAATAATAAGAGAGCTACTCAGATTGCTAATAACTGTGTCTTTCATGAGCAGTGAGCGTACCAAACATATTGAGAATGATTGGCACTTTGTGAGCCATCGTCTTCATCGTGGGACTATTTCCCTACCACATGTCACCTCTACTATGCAGTTGGCTGACTTTTTCACGAAGTCCCACACTATTATGCATTTTCATTTTCTTCTTGACAAACTCACGATGCTTCTCACTGTCACATTGTGAGTTTGAGGGGGGTGTTAGAGAATAATTTATCTTGTAACTTATGGGTACTTTAGTCTTTTACCTTTTATATGGTAGTTTGATTACTTTAGGCTTTTATCTTTTATATGGGTAATTAAGTCTTTTACCCTTTTGCTAGGGCATATAAATATGCTTGTATTGTAAAGTGTATATTGACGATTGATTAATAGCAATAGATTAGGGATTAGGGATTGGAGACGTGGGAACGATAGATAGATTAGGGATTGGAGACGTGAGAAAGATAGATAGATTAGGGATTTTTGTCTATTTAGTAATTTTTCAATTTAGGATATTTCAGTAATTTGGTATTTTAGGGTTTTATTTATGGTAGTAGGATTTGATTAGGGTTTTCCTTGATGCCTATTATATGTGGGTTATCAACATTGTTAAGGTACCTTTTTATGATTGATTATTGAAATTCAGAAAATTATTGTGATTTCTTCTCCCTCATTCTGATTTCTTAAATTATTGTGATTTCTTCTCCCTCATTCTGATTTCTTCCCCCACTATTGTTTTCTCTTCTCCCTCTCTCTCTTACTAGTTCTCTCTGAAATCGGTATCTAGTTCCTTAACACTGTTGATAACCCACATATAAATAGGCATCAAGGAAACCCTAATCAAATCCTACTACCATAAATAAAACCCTAAAATACTAAATTACCGAAATATCCTAAATTGAAAGATTACTAAAATAATAATAATTATAAATAGACAAAAATTCCTAATCTACCTATCTTTCCCACGTCTCCAATAGTAGGTTTGGGCCATGTGTACTTCAAGCTCTCGGGCGATGACCGGTTTTTCATCACTTCTCACCCATGCTTTTTCTAGCATGATTCAAGAATTCTTCACAAGCCTACTTCAGATCAGTGTCTCATTTTGTTTAGTTCTTCTATCACTAGTCAGGCTCACTTCCTTTCCAGGATATAGAACATGTTATTGCACCATATGTCCTTCACTTTTCATTCTTTATGGCGGCCCATATATATGTTCTAAGGAACATGGCAAATATAAAAGCTAACAGAGTGGAAGAAAGGAACTTCAGCAATGTTGAGGCCCATAAGGTTCAAAAATATGAAAATATTAAAAGACTTAACTTATTGGAGAAGGAAGCTGATGTCTTAAAAAGAAACCGTTTGCAATACTAACTAGTCCACACCCACACGCCACATTATATCCCATGAAAGGAAGTAATAATATAAATGAGAGGGATGCATTACAACCCACGGTAAATTAATTTTTAGTTTGAGCAAAACAAAACTCAGACCTCAGTAACCTATTAAAACCTGCTGCATTGCAATAATATGTTTAGATTCTAAATAGTCGCATGATACAATGCCATGCCATGCTAGAGTGAACAATACCGTTAAGCTCCCTGAATCTGTATTCTCGAATTCAATCAACCGCTTCGTCAATGTTGCTTCACAAATATGTACAATCCTTACCTGTGACAATTTAAAACGTGCATCTCAGGAAAAATGGCAGAAAATACTGTATATCAAACATTTTATTTCTAAAATAGGAATGCAAGTATGAATACTGTTGAACCTGATGCAGGAAAAAGAGTTGGGAACCAGAATAAGAGTAATAAGAGTATCAATAAAATAAACCTTGTCCAAGAAAGTAATATTCAAAGCCCATAAATAAGAACACTAATCACCTTCCAGGAAAAAAACAAAAACAAAAAAAGAATTGACCGCTAATCTTTTGCATTAAAGGTCACTTTGTTGTCCCACTAAATTCTGGAAGCTAAAAAAAATCTACACTGACAACAAGCGGATAGCTAACACTGTATCAAAGTTCATGTAGCTTCGTAAAGACGCATAGCTTCAGTCTCACTCACCCATGAACATCTATCACCAATACCAAATTTCAAGCCCCTGGCGACTTTAATTCCATCATTGGATATCACTAACTCCACAATCTTCGCTCATCTGATGTCCTCGAACCCTCTAATTATCTCCAGAAAATAAAAAAAATGCAACACAAAATAACCAAATACACCCCGTGATCAACTCAATTACCAACAAGTCCACAACTAGCTCAAAAACCACCAATTTATCCCTTGAAGAAACCCCTATCAACAGAATCCCATCCTGTGAGATGGCTCCTTTTATTAACCTCTATAGCACTAGAAAGGCAGACTGCTTGAGCGCTAATATTAGTAAGTTGCTCTCATTACTAATACTACAATGTCCTCTCAATATGTTAATAACCCTAAACAAACACTATGTTAATATAGTTATAAAGCATTAATTTTGATTCTTCCTGCAAAGACACTGATGAAAGCAAATTAAAAATTTTATTTGAATATTTCATAAGAGATCATGTTTTAAACAAGTTTGACCATCAAAATAAGAACACAACATATAATGTAAAATAAACTTACTATGTCTGACTTGGAACACGTGAGACCGTATGAAAGAGCAGCTATGTATATTGCTGCTCCACATAATCCACTAGGTTTTCTCCCAGTCTGTAGGCATTTAAGAACAAGTCATATAATTAAGTGAATTTCATTGTGATTACAACTACACCTGACACCAAAATCCTATCAAGAAGGTGTTCAAAAAGTCCAACAAAAATAAAAATAAATTAAAACCACACCTGCATCCAATCTCGCTTCATGCTAGCTATAATGTGAAGCGCCGTTTTGGAAACCGCCTTATTATCTTCTCCTAGTAAACCTGTAATATAAATAGATATTGGTAATTATGTCACCCTGCTAGAATATAGCATACCAGATGAATACACATATACCCTATATAGACCATACAACCAATCTCAATGAAACGGTAGTGTCAATTCAATTAACAATCACACTTTGACCTTCTTCAATGTGAAATTAGTTAACCAATATAAATAAATATTTAGGATATCAATTGAAAGACATGTAATAACAAGGAAATTTTGCGTGATGAAACTTTAGAACATAATTTCACTTGTGAAACCTTAGAAAAATGGTACAGAATACAACAAATAGTGGGACGTGGACAAGTGATAACATAGCAAAACTATAGAACATGGATGTTTCAATAGAAGAAGAGTTAGAAAACAAAAATAAAAATATAACTGAATAAAATTACTGATTACTTCGTTAGCAAAAAAGCTCAGGAAAATGTAGCAAAAGACGCTGAATAAGATTAAAAGGAGATGATTGTTGGCTCATCAGAATTCACAAGGAAAAACAAAACCATCTAGTCCTCACACACGCACACGAAGAGAACGATGATATAAAATAAAAATATTCACAAACTACACGAGGAGTGACTTACTGGACCCTAACTCACGCCTAAACCCTAAAAGGCCTACAATAAAAGCAGGCAAAAGAGGGCACAGGTGGGCTGATATTTGCAACACCTGCATCCAAAGTCCAAAACTTACCGCGAGTAGTTTTGGGGTCCAGTATCACATTTCAAGATCTCCCGGTCCTAAAAGAAGCATAACCCATCAGCAAAGGTCAAACCGCATTAAGCCAGTTTGTTGGCTAGAAGAATGTACATGACTGTTGATGTGTATTAATTGCTACTTGTAGATTTTTCTCAGGAGAATTCAAAAGAGATACTTGATTTGGAAAGGAGTGATTGTCAAGCTAGCGATGGCAGCAAAAAGAATCTGATTCCACCAAGACAAAAGCAGAATCAAGGGCATCCTCTCTTTCAATAACAATTTACTTAAGCAGGGTGGTTATCGTGTCTGGCTCCTTTAACTACCCTTCCTTTCTGTTTTTTACAATTAGCATCAGAATTCAGAATGTCTAAATACAAAGGCAGTGTGAATTAATCAAGGGTGTTGGGAAGGATAAAATTGGCAGAGTATACTGTGCTACTCCAATATATAAATATTAAACTAATTATTTGGATGTCCAACTCATTTCACACACACACACACACCCAAAATTAGCCCCCAAAAAAAGGTAAATGAATTCCCTCCATGCTGGAGAATAGAACAATTTCCTTCTCTCCTTGGATGTATTTTATTCCATTCAACACTCTCTGTTGCTTAACAGTACTTCCATTCTCACATTACAGAAGAACCCATAAAAATTTGATATCTCAGTTAGGGAATTGTCAAGTGACACCTCAGTTTAAACATTCAAGTATATCTCCAAACAATTTACAGTCAATTATGTACTTACGTGCCGTAAATTTATGAATAAAAAGGCTGGGATCAACAGGTTTTTGAACAATGGGGTGCTCTTCAAGGCTTAGCAGTTTGCAAAGCTGCAAAAATACTGCACCCAGCACATAACTGCAATACAAATTAGCTAAAAGCATCAATAAATTCCCTATTCCCAAAAAAATATTATGGAAATTGTCACAACTCAAATGAGATAAAAAAAAAATATTTAAAAAAATAAAAATAAAATTACCATCTAAACAAGAGGTTCCTTACACGTTTATCCTCAAATGATCTGAAAACTCAATAAGAAGATACGGCCTTTTATTTTCCCTGCAAATATACAATAAAATAAATTCAGTAATTGCTCACTTTTGACATCACTGAGAATTACGAGGAATTTTCTCATAAGCTCAATCATAAATGGTAACATTATTCAACACTTCTCTTTACTGCCAATTAACAAAAGGGTTTGTTGTAAATATTAGAGAAATTAAACGAGTAGAACATACAGATATTATGTGGTTCAGCCTCTAGGGCCTACATCCACGGCACAAAGAGCCCAAAGGGCTACATCACTTTTATAAGACTCTCTTTTCATACACAATACAATGGTGGAGGCTCCTCTATATAGGAGAAGAAATGATGAGAATGGAAAGAGATAGAAAATAGGAAACAAGGAGGATTTTTCTCCACTAATTCCTCTAGTATCAGTAAATCTTCAATAATAGGAAACAACATCAATTACTGGATGATTTTCCTACATTAGTTCCTCCATTAAACCTTCAATGCTCCCCCTCAAGTTGGAGCATGAATGCCCAACTTGCCATTGAGATGACGAGTAGCAGCAAGTGCGAATGATGAAGAGAGAAGGCAAAGAACAATGCTACTGAATACACAGGCAGCCCAAACAAATTAATAAAAACTGTCGGAGACACGGCAAAGGAGAAGAACAATGCTACCAAACACCCCAGCAGCCCAAAAAAGTCAATAAAAATTGTCAGAGACACGGCAAAGGCGAAGACAATGCTACCAAACATACCGGCAGCCCAAACAAGTCAACACAAACTGCAGGAGACACGACAAAAGGGAAGAACAATGCTACCTAACATACCGGCAACCCAAACAAGTCACAAATAGCACCAAGAAACCCTAAACAACATTTTAGATACCAAGGGAATACCCCAAAATAGGGGTCCGCACCTAGAAATAGAAATTAGGCTCTGATACCATATAGTAAATAATAAAATAGAAGTGAAGAGAGAAATGAAACGGGTAGAACTCACAGATATTACATGGTTAAGCCACTAAGGCCTACATCCACAGCACAAAGAGCCCACAGGGTTACATCACTTATATATACCCTCTCTTTTCATACACAATACAATAGTGGATGCTCCTTTATATAGGAGACGAAATGATGAGAATGGAAAGAGATGGAAACAAGAAGCTTTCTCCAACATTAACCATTCACGTAGTGGATCAAAGGCAGTACTATTCCAATTCCATAAGTCGGGTACTAAATCCGACTATGAATAATTTGCACACTATTATGCAATGCACATTGAACCTTTATAAAAGTGATGACAGACGCTTTTTGGCCCCTTGGGCTGTAAGTAATACCTGTAAACATATAAACTTGGGTTTTCATTGAGTTTAGAATATAGGTTTTGAAAACAAGGTTACAAGGTGAAAAACTAAACAGACTATTAGAACACTCCCCTTCGGTTGCATCACAAATCACACAATCTAAAATTTCTAAGTCAAGTCTATAGAATTAAAAGATTACACCGTTAAGACACCAACGTGAAAACTCTAACTACTATACTTTTGACCTAATCATGATCGAGTAACGCATGTTTCCCTGTAACAAGACCCACAAATTACTACTACAGCTCATGTCAAACAAGTATATAATTATCAAAGTGTTCCTCAACTCCTAGGATATAAAATAATATAAGACAATAACAGCATTTTAAAAATAAAAAAAGAGAGTAAAATTAGAGCTAGATTAAACTAAAGTCAGTTACAGAAGGTATCTAGCATGCTGCATAAGGAGTTCCCAACAACATGCTCTGCATCTGAATGTAGTACAAGTTCCCAACTAGCCAAATCAAGATGTACAACCATCGTCATTAGTGCGCTGGCCCCAATCTATGTTACATGGACTCTTCAAAAGTAGTGAAGTACCTGAGTCGGACATATATTGCTCAAACATGGGTATGGGAATGTGTAGGGGGGGCAAATTACGACACGACACGACACGACAATACTATACAAATACGACATGAGTTAAAAGCGTTTGGATTTGGCATAAACGGGCTTGGGTCATAAAAGGGCCTACACGATTAACCCGTTTACTTAACCGTGTCGAGTTAAGGTTGAAGAGTTCAACCCGTGTAACCCATTTATGACCCATTTAACTCAACATGTTATAATCGTGAATATGACCTATGTAATATGTTACATGTTTAAATCCAATTATTATGGATAATTAAGTCAATTCAATATAAATCTTGTCTTTTCCTTATTAAATGGGTTGGGTTTGGATTTACCTATTTAGTATAATACCCTTACATTGACATGACACGAACACAACCCACGAACACGAATTGCCACTCCTAGATATGTGTCCGACACTTTTGGGTAGACATGTACTTAAAAAGCATATCCAATCATTCAATTATATTTTATTTTTATTTTAAAATAGGCCCCAATAACTAAAAGAGGACGACATAGTACAATCTGCACTAGAGCACTATCATATGAGAAATTTCACAAACGAATCCATCTAAGCTCTTAAACAATTAGCACGTCAAAATACCAACCGAGAAGAACCTTGCAAGAGAATCCTTGCCCCATTGGCATGTCTTATTTTTCTTAGTAGCACTGAAGAGAATCACTATTTCATTTTTATTTTGTATACTATCAGTCTATGTCCCAGAACAAATATTATCCAATTTATCCCTAAAATAATGAGAACAACAAAAATAATAATAATAATAATCACCACAAAGACCAATTTAACAGAATCACTTACCTACATGATATGTAAAGACAAGCAGCTTCAACTTGCTCTTTTCTACGCCCTCTAGTGAAGTTCCGCTCAACTGCTATCTTCGAAGTAACAGAAATTTAAAGATTTGACCACTTAGTGAAAAAACAAACAATCCCAAGTAACAAACTTTATATACATGAACAGCAATACCGTATAAAAGGCAAAAGCTGGGCGAACTATAGAATCACCACCCTGAATACCCAAAGCATCTGCCATTCTTGACATATTAATAAAAGCTGCAAAATGTTAACAATATGAATTAATCATCAAAAAATTCTAATCAAACCAAACTGTTAAAAAGACCTGAGGATTTAAATAGCATTCACTACTCATCATAACAGTTGCAATAAAAAGCTGAGGATTTGAATTACATTCAATTGTTGTCATGCCAGTCGCCGTCTTAATGGTAAAACAAAGTAGCAAATAATTTAAGGTTTCCATGACATTAATGCTCGGTTTGGTTGGAGGGATGGAAAAATAGATGGAAGGGAAGGGGGAAGGAATGGATGAGGCGTCCCTAGGGAATGGAAGGTGTCTCCCTCATTTCTTGTTTCGTTGGATGGAATGGATAGTAGAAAGGATGGATGGCTGACACATTTTTATTTTTATTTTTGTTAGGTTGGAAGGAAGGTAAAGAGGGTTTTATATTCTTTTTACCAATATACCTTCATTATATTAAATTATAAAAATTAGATATCCATTGCAAATGGGAAGGTTAAAAATGAAAATTACTAATAACTCCTCTCTCTCTCCTCTTCCTCCCAATTTTGGGCGTATAGATCCCTCCTTGCTTCCTCCCTCTTTTCCCTTCCCTCCAACCAAACACGGAAAAACTCTTTTATCCCTCCTCTCATCCATCCCTCCTCAACCCTTCCCTCTAACCAAACATAGCATAAATCAGGTGGATATTAGGATGGTTACTTTACAGCATAATGGTTTAAGACATTATTTTACTAGAAAAAATAAAAATAAAACAGAAGCCAGCACAAAGTGTATAACATTTTGTGTTAATGAATCCCAAAGGACAGCTCCACGTGTTCAAAAATGTATTGCAGTCAATTGAACACTCCAAACTGCCCTCCCCTTCTTATCCCTGCAGCAGCACTACACATACCACATATTTCAGAAGAAGAAAGGAGGGGGGAAAAAAAAAAAAAACAATCACCTCAAAATACACATTAGAATAATCCACTAATTCCACAGCCTCATTGCACATAACATTATCGCACCAACTTGAAACGAACCAATTTCTACTAACCAAGTAAACCCACAGTAAGATGATTACTCTTTTTGAATATTAGCATTATATAACACTTGAAAACGTTAACACACTTTCTAATTCCCCCAATCAAGTTATATTGGATAAAAACAATATTGAAATTTGCAGCATTACCCTCCCAAACAGTAATACTTCACCCAAACTTCTTCATTTCCATAGATACATGAAGGTGAGGATAAACCTCCATGAGGGGAAAATTCCTATACTGAACATATTTCCAAATTTAACTCCACCCCCATATCCGACATTAGATCTTACCCCTTAACAAGTGGTGATAGTGTCTGGAAGACCCATCCCCTAATTCCAATCTCATGGCAACATAAACTCGAATTTGGAAACAAGAACATATAGGAGAAGGTAGGACAACTCACTTATATCATGACTTGAACTCTATACCGGGAAATTAAGAGCTTTTGACCAGTAGAACACATGTAAAACCACTTAAATCAATAAACAAAGACCCGCTACAACAACTCGAACTAAAAGACAACCCACAGGTGAAAATTACAGTCCATATCCAGTAAATCTGATACCTACGAAAATATATCCACCCAAAAGATTAGAAAACATACATCAAATTAACACAACCAGAAACGAACTCAAAGAATCCTATAATAAGAGCCAACTGAACTCAAAATTAAGTACGCAAACTCCAACCTGGCTTTGTATTATACCATAAAAGCATCTTTGCCACACCTATTCTACAGAGTGCTCCAACATGTCTCCATCACTTACTACCTTGAATATAGTAAATACTATCCGGGCAATTGACTAGATGGATCTAGACATCTTATATCCTAATATATATTGGTGGTTTAATTTGGTCACCATCCAGGAATCATGCCCCAAATCATAAAAATATATAAATAAATAAAAATAAAAAAACCATGGACCTAAATTTGTCGAGGAAACCGAGTGGGTTAAGAGACTGGGAAAATTCTATGTTGCTCAGGACAGTAATGTGGTTTACTGTTAGCAGGACAATGTTGCTTCCAAATGGAAACTTCTGACCTTAACCTTTCATGAATATATTCATTGCGCGACAGAAAGCAGCACTAAAACTAGGTCTAACAGTTTTTCTAGACATCATAGCTTCCAATTCATCCCGAACTAGTATGAGTTTGGTAATTGCAGAGGGATCAATCTGCAGATCTTTCCACGCAAGGAGCACCAAGACTGTTTTCACTTCAATAATAGATTTTAAAGAAGGGTATATCATACAGTTCAATTAAGAGCATACAAGAAATACATTGTGAACAAGTTGCACAGAAACTAGATATAAAACCAAAGATAAATACCATCCAAAACCCATATCAAAAAAAGGACACCAATGCTTCATGAATATCAAAGACAGGAAGCCCGGTATAAAAATCATAGAACAGGGAGAGACTATAATTACAATTCATCTCTAGGATCCCACAAAGATTAAAGAATCCTCCAAAGGCTGTATGCAACCATGCACTAAAGCAAACTACATTAAATTATTCAGAGAGTGACCGTAAGTGAGCAATTGCTCTGAAATTCTGATTGCAGATGCTGATGATATTGTTAGTACAGAAAATAATGAGAAAGGTGTAGGTGACTACAAGGATCACCTTCAGTCTTCACAGACAACTCCAAAAAAAAAAAAAATCTATGATCATTTTCAGGTAATTCAGGAAACTGAGGTGGCCATATATGATAAGGATATTCATTCTCTCAAAAGATTGAAGGTTTAGAAATCTGCTTGAAAAAATTCATATGAATTCTAAACCAATTAATTCATCGTTATGCTAGGTAATTATTTTATGACAGAAAGTATAAAAATCTGGTTGGCAAATTGATATTCCTAACCATGATTCACCTTGATACTATGTTTGCTGCAAGAATGGTTAGTCGTCTTATTCATTACCAGCAACCAGAATAGGAGCTTTCTTGTGTCATGAGGTATCTATAGGCAACTTCAAATGTAGTTCACATCAAGATTGTAATGAAGCATGGCAAAGCATACCATTGTGTAATGTCCTTTCACGCGAAAATGAATAATCACTTTGAACAGTTTTGACAAAATTTCCTGACATTTGGCTCTGCAAATTAAACTAAAGTTAGAAAGCACATAGGATGGAATTCACAGTAAAACAACTAAAACCAAGCAGACAAGAATGTATTTATTTCACCCAATGAATGAATAAACATGCATAAATAAATATATAAATACATATGTCTGTGTGCATGTAAGTATTTATGTATTTATATCTTGTTCGTATAAACACATACATGTGTGTATGCACATTAATCCAACTCAACTAAACAAATACTTTCGCAACATTTGTATGATATGCACATATTTATACACGTGTATGACTGTATGTAGTATGTTTTTTTTTTTTTCTTAGATGATACTCATACGCCCATGCCTCCCACTAAAGCTCAAACCCATGACCTCCCTTTGGGAAGTAGGGGCCTGGTACCACTGGGCCACTTGCCCGTTGGTATATGTATTATGTACATATTCATAGAAGTTAATCCACAAAATTATAAAGTGTTTACAGTAAAGTAAAAAATATCTTCTTGTCCCAAGGCACATGAAGATCGAAAAGGGGCTATTTGGGAATCTCCAATGCTGGGCTTCCAACTCCAAGCTTGAGTAGCCATCATTTCATTGGCAGGGAGAATCTTCGCTGTACTGGTGCTATTCAAAAACCTACTTAAAATTTGTTAGCACTCCACCTGGCAGCTAGAATTTGTCTTTAAAATATACCCAATTTGCTCGTTTAACGTTTACGGCTTCCTAAACAACCCCGTGCAAAAAAAAAAAAAAAAAAAAAAAGCCCAGAAGAACAAAGTAGAAAATTTAAAGCTACTGATTATTGACCATTGGTGAGCAGTTTCATGAAGATGCTCAAATGATGAAATGGCAATAATCACATAATACAAGCACAGTTTGTGGACCCAATTAAATGTTCAAAAAAGTATATTGGATGTTCTATAAATAGACAAATCTGTAGTGAGAATCTATAAATGTCATCAGCAAGTAAAAGATGTATATGACAGTAGCAACAGAAAACAAGAGTCAACCTGCCCTGCATTATTTTTAACAAAGGTGGGTTCATTTGAAAAATTGTCTTCATTAATGACTTTTCCACACTCGGTACAACATCTGAAGAGAATAACAAAGAAACAAGCAGTCAGCTATTGCAGTAATGCACATAATCCTCGTATCTTGACAAGCACACAGACTCCAAAATGAGCGAGCATTTATAGTTGAAAGTATGAGAAACTATATGTTTCTGAAATAAAAGTCACTCACAGTAGACCCTCCGAATATCCCGGATTTTTGCAGTCTCTTGCACAGCTACTACACCAGACCATTATGGAGTACTGCTAACCACTGCCAAATGCCAACCAACCAAGCAGAAATAACCCAAATTTAAATTCTTAAATAGTGTTAACTCAATTACTCAATCTAATAGCATAAACAAAGAATCTTAAAGAAGTTGAACTCCTCACATGAATTATCCAAAATTAAATTAAAAAAAATCAAACTCCATTGGAGAACTAACTTGTTCAGCACCGAAATTTAAATTAAAAAGACAAAATGTAAGGGAAAATACAAATGATCAGTGAATTACCTTATTTATATTCGATCAACCCCAATCAAATGATCAGAAGATAGTTTGAGATTGACTCGACCAAATTAAACAAGAAACATATATATGCATGTACTGAAACATACATATAAAAATAACCTTATTTCCAATCACGCTAATGCGTTTGAAGATGACAATTGAAGAACAAAACTGATAGAAGATCGGTGTCTAGGGTTACAGTTAAAATCTTTTAACTACTGGAGCAGATAAGGAGTGGAGAGGGACTAATTAGGTGCGAACTAGGGTTTTTGACGACGGTTAATGGAAGAGTCTTTGGTACGAAGTGATCGAGCCCACGTGCGCTCGGAGACTATCTAACGAGATAAAATTGGATCTCCTCACAATGTTCTTTGGTCTCGACAAATAGGGATGTAGAGACGTGGTTTTAAGTAAGGGTTGAGTGCGTGTGATCTACGCAACATTAACGGATATAAGAAATTTGAGTTAATTACATTCACACCCTTTCTAATTCAAGGAACATCTTTTGCTCAGCCTTACAGTGCTGCAGCCTTCAAATCGGACTAAACTGACTCTGTCAAAGACAATTCAGCTAGTGAAGAGATGCAGAAGTCGCCAGTCGGGTCCTCGGAATTGGCCTCCTGCAGTTCAAGTTCAGAGCGGAGGATCTTACACCGTCGCGGTGACCTACTTTTGAAAGTGTTTGTGGAAAACAGTTTCTCGACCGACCGTCCGACTTTAAAGCTGAAAGCAACTCCTTACCCTGTGATAATATTGACTGAATTCTTGTAGCATTGTACACCCCAATCCCTTTTCAATTAAGGAAAGCTTCATAAAATTAACAAAGAAACCCCTCTGATAATCGATGAATTGAAATTATTACTTTTTGACTTGATGACCTATTTGGATCATAAAATTATCTTTTAAACCTTTACAACTCAATATGTTTAACTAAACTACCCTTTCGTGCAAAAAAAAAAAAAAAAGTATAATTAATTATATATAATTGTGTGTATATGTATGTGTGTGTATATATATATATATATGGATGTAGTGGTTCATGTGGAGTGAGGATAGTATTAGTATAATATAAAGTAAGGTAAAGTGCAAAAAAAAATTTCTGAATTATTAATTTTTTATAACTACCCTAAATAAAAGATTCCCTTCTAAATTATTGATTCGTTACAATTAAGGACAAACCCATCACAAAAGACTATTTTACATTTTGTTATTAATTTTGTCATTTCTTATTAAATTATTTTTTATTATATTTTTCTCTTATTTAAATATTAATTATACCATTTACCTTAATTTTATAATTAGAATCAATTGACTATAAAAATGGAAAAAAATAAATAAATTTGTAGCTATCATTTTCTAAAATGATTAACTTATTATAATAAAACTTATTATACTCACTTTAAAAAAATTTAGTATAAAAAAAATATCTTCTTTTTCAAACAATATTCATGAAAATTAATAAATTACGTAAATAAAAAATATCTTCTTTTTTATGCAATATATTCATGAAAATTAAGAAATTACTTAAATTGCTTCAAAATTTTCTATTTAAGATTTTTATTTAAATAATTTATTTAAAAAATTAAAGGCAAACTTATGCAAATTTAATAGAGAATATTTCATCAAATTAGTATGAATTTTTTTCATAATTTATTTTAACAAGAAATATATATCAAATGTAATTCAATAAGAAAATGTATTATGATTATTTAATGAAAAATATGTTCAGTGGGGCATTTTGCAATTACATGTGATGATTCAAAGGATTTTATACACAAAATGTAGTTCAGTGGAATTATTTACAAAGTTAAGGAGGGTTTTGCACTATACCCTGTAATGTAATATCAAAAGAGGAAAGTAGGACAATACCACTTGCAACTTAATATTTGATTCACACAATACCGACCCAAATTTGTTATATTAAAAATATAATAATATATACATAAACTATATTAGAGGTGGATACTTGATAAAACTATGGTGTCAAAACCAAAACAAAATTGGTACAAAACCATGTAGGGTCACCTCGTCTTCAATTTTTGTTCTCCAGTGAATGATCTTGGTGTCAAGCCTCAATCTTTGTGCGTTGTTGTTAGGAGACCTGTGGGTGAGAAAAGCTTAAAAAAAATTACTAGTCCAGCCGCAGTACGTTCCCAGCGGAATCCGATCGAGCTTGTCAGATTCCGATAACAAACACGTAGGGATGGCAAATGGGCAGTTTGGGTCGAGTTGAAAATGGACGGGTCAATATGGGTCGAGACCCATAGTCAACAATTAAGAACGGGTTGAGAATGGATAGGGTGAACCCGTTATGACCCGTGGATCCATTAATTATTATTTTTAATTTTTTATATTTTTTATTTTTTATTTTTTTTTTACTTAAACTTGATGGGAATATTTGTGGTGCCTCTGCCTGTGTTGTAGAACTAGTCGGAACCGGAGTATGTCTGATGCTTCTTTTCTCTTAAAACCCATACCGACGTGCTCTCTGCAATATTTACTTCTCATAATTAGATTTTTGAAAACTAAATTCAATGTGATCAGATACATGATAATGATTTTGGAGAGAAATTTTCCACATACGCGCGAGCACACACACACAAATTTATAATTTGTGAAGATTTTTATTTGGAAGATGTAGTAAGGGATTTTTAATTTTTAATTTTTTAATTATTTTTAAATTTTTAATTTTTTTTTTATAAGGTTATAATTTTCTTTTTAATTTGGAATTGCCACGTCAGATTCTGCAGCCTTGCTCGTCACCATCTCATAGCCGTCACCGCCGCTGCACCAAACAACGTCCATCACAGCCGATAGCATCCGAGCACTGCCTCCGTTAAAGGCCGAAATCGCCGGTGCCACCACGAATCTCTGCCGCCATCATCATCGATCTCATCTGCCTAGCCGAAGCCGATCTCTGACATCACCGCCGCTGCTCTAGCCGCCGCCGCAGATCTCGACTCCTTGCCGCCGCCGATCTTCTCTACCGAGCTGAGCAAACAACAGAGATAAGATCTATGCCGTCGCGACTCCGTGTCAAAGCCGATCTCTGCCACCACCGATCTGATCTGCCGCCTCAGTTTCCCTTAACCAAATCCCATCATCTCCCTACAAATCCCAACCTCTCTCCTCCTCCCTTCACCTTCTCTTCTTCACCGGATCTGTCTTGGCCGAACTCAGATCACAGAGGACCGGCAATACCCACCGCCGGCCGTCGTTCCTATCCACATCCGAAGCCGCAAGCTCCGGCGTCGGCCTTCAACTCTTCCCGCCGTTCACTGTTCTTTTAATTTTATTCTTAATTTTTTAATTTATTTTAAATTTTAAAATTATTTTTTAATTATTTAAAAAAAATTTCTAGAAAGAGAAACTTAGAGAGAGGGATTGATGAGAGACAAATTTATAAAGAGAAGATTGTGAGTAAGAAAATATTAGAGAGAGAAATGAGTTGAGTACAATATAGAATGATGTGTGTAGTGTGTTTATTATGTGATGGGTGTAATATATGTTGAATATGGTTAACCATATTCAACCCATCTTGACCCTCAAATTAAGTGGTTAAAAATTATCCAACCTATCTTGACCCTCAATTAAATATGGTTCACCCATAACTATTAAAAAGCGGTCGGATATGGGCGGATTGATGGTTCCTGACCCATATTGTCACCCCTACAAACATGATATGCAAGGCCAAAATAATACTTGCAACTCTGATTTGCTTCTGATTTTCAATTTAAAGAGAGTGGTGGCTATGATTTGAGACCGTCATGGTTTTGATTGGGATTGTTGTAAGTTTAAATTGGTGGCGATGTGGTGGCGGGAAAGGTGGAAAACGATAACGGGCGAGGTGCGAGTGCCAACACGATAGAGCCAAAGAGGACCAAACCCAGAAAATGCCGGCAGAGGCTATAGGGATCCGACGTATTATATTTACGTGTATATGTCTATAAATGTACAAAATACAAGAGTGTGTGAAGGAAGAGAGGAAAGAGGGGTATTTGAGTCATTTAAATACACTCATATTTTTTATCAAGAATTATTATTTTATTAAAGGGTAATAACATCTTTTTTAATTTTTTTAGGAACTGTTTGGCTGCAATTTATGACAGGGGTGTGAGGGGTGTGAGAGTTCAAAAACGTGACCAACTTTCATTTGACTGTCAATAGAACAAATCTTAAGGGGTGTGAGTGTAATTAACTCAAAAAAATTATTTTTCATTTAGGTGATGACTTCTTAGTAGTTTTTATTTTTATTTTTTTGTTATTAATAAGAAATTCACACACCACTTTGAGAGGTATAAAACATACCACAAGGGCATTGGTGGTAATGACTTCTTAGTAATTTTCGATAAAACAATTAAGTCTATTTTATAATTAAAATTTTCATATTATAATAATTCTAAATATCTTAAGGCTATGTTTGGCGACATGATATTGGAGTTTTGGAATTGAAATTGGTGAAATTAAATAAAATTTTGGTTCAAATTTTTGAATTGTTTTTTTTTTCTAATTGCACCAATTTTAATTCCAAAATTCCAATTTCATGCCACTAAACATAGCCTTAATCTATAAAAATTTAAATAGTTTTATTATATTCTTAAAATATATATTGATTATTAACCATTAGAAATATAAAGGGAAGCAACAAAATTTTTATTACTAACAAAATATCTAACATATTTGAAAATGAGTGCAACATAATTTTAAGACAAATTCTCTCTCTCTCTCTCTCTCTCTCTCTCTCTCTCTCTCTCTATATATATATATATATATATAGGCGAATAGCAACACTAACAAACAACTCCACCCTCCTCATTAGCCAACTGCAAGATCAAATAAGGGATCGAGAGAGAGCTATATTTGAATCCATGTCATCCCGCAATAAGGAAGCCAATGCATGGCCCGTTATTTCCAGTGCACCGAACATGATAGATTGAATAGTACGAGAAAGTTAAGGAATGCATGAATATCGAACATCAATGAAGAAATCTCTATTAGACAATCACTAACACCATACCATTCAAGGAATCTACTACTAACTTTGCATTCGATTCAAAGCAAATATTTTGCAAATTGAGTGACCTCGCCCAACATACTGCATTTCTAAAGCAATAAACTTCTGCCGACAACACCAACGGTGATGGAAAAGGTTGGAACACTATTGCCTGAACAATGGAGCCAGATGAGTCCCGAAATACAGCACCACCAGGGGCGGAGCTGGGCCAGGGGTGGCCATGGCCCCCCCAAAAATTTTCAAAATTTTTTTTTAGCATCCGCCAAAATATTTATACTGTAATAAACTTAATTTATGATCCCAAAATTTATAATAAATTCTAATTTGGCCCCCCAAAATATTTTCAAAACGTTTATTTATCGGTCAAAAAAATAGAGAGTGAAAATA